AGAGGGAGAGAAGAGGGAGGAGGGAGAGGGAGAGGAGAGAGGGAAGAGGAGGAGGAGAGAGAGGAGGAGGAGAGAGGAGGAGGAGAGAGAGAGAGAGAGAGAGAGAGAGAGAGAGAGAGAGAGAGAGAGAGAGAGAGAGAGAGAGAGAGAGAGAGAGAGAGAGAGAGAGAGAGAGAGAGAGAGAGAGAGAGGAGAGAGAGAGAGAGAGAGAGAGAGAGAGAGAGAGAGAGAGAGAGAGAGAGAGAGAGAGAGAGAGAGAGAGAGAGAAGAGAGAGAGAGAGAGGAGAGAGGAAGGGATGGATGGATGGATGGATGGATGGATGGATGGATGGATGGATGGAGATGGATGGATGGATGGAGGGAGGCGAGGGAGGGAGGGAGGGAGGGAGGGGAGGAGGGAGGAGGGAGGAGGGAGGGAGGGAGGAGGGAGGGGAGGGGAGGGAGGGAGGGAGGAGGGGAGGGAGGAGGAGGGGAGGAGGAGGGAGGAGGGGAGGAGGAGGGAGGAGGAGGAGGGAGGGAGGGAGGAGGGAGGGAGGGGAGGGAGGGAGGAGGGAGGAGGGAGAGAGAGAGAGGAGAGGAGAGGGAGAGAGAGAGAGAGAGAGAGAGAGAGAGAGAGAGAGAGAGAGAGAGAGAGAGATGAGAGAGAGAGAGTGTGAGAGTGAGTGAGTGAGTGAGAGAGAGAGTGAGTGACGTGAGTGAGAGTGAGTGTGAGTGAGTGAGTGGAGTGAGTGAGTGAGTGAGTGAGTGGTGAGTGAGTGAGTGAGTGAAGTGAGTGATGAGTGAGTGAGTGAGTGAGTGAGTGAGTGAGAGAGAGAGAGAGAGAGAGAGAGAGAGAGAGAGAGAGAGAGAGAGAGAGAGAGAGAGAGAATCATTCCTTGGCGTTCAATAAGTGACCTAATTTCCGCTCAAATTACAGTAAGAGCAACTTTCCTTTTAAAGAAGTCCAATTTTGACCTACCTTACGGGTCCCCTTGCACTGTTCTCGCTGTTTGTAATATACCACTTTATTCATTATTTTTCCATTTATGCATTAATCATTTGCTAGATTAACCATTTTTATCATTATTTACGCTCAATGTAACCCATTTCCCCTATTAATTCTAAATGAAAAAATCATAATTTCGTTATGCCAGACCAAAAACGCTTTATGCATTTCTCTGACCACTGCATCTTAACTCTCTAGGTTGCACTTTCGAACACTTTTAATATACTCATTTGAGCACTAGTGCACAACTGAAAACTTCGTTACCACTTCCGAACACTTTTCTGAACACTCTCTTGGAGTCTTTTCTGGATCAATCCTCAATCAATCATCTTGCACAATGAAGGCGGAGCTTCTTTCCCGGAGGTTAATTACCGCTTCCTATTCAGTCTGTCAATTTCACAGTAATTAAACATATGATGTAATTGCTATTTCGGGAGTCAATTTAAAAAATACGTGTCTGTTCTTCAATGCACCACGTGTTCCATCAATAACAATTACACACAGCATATGACCGACTAATAAATTTTTGGTAATAATCCTAATTATTGTATCTACGGTGAGATAACGATCACAACTGCTGCACATCCCTGTCACATTAATGATGCTTTCAGCAGGAGCCATTACACACCGCCAGCACACACACATTTACTAACACCCGTGACAACATTACCAACGCTGCTGCATGCCACTATAATCCTTTGGAAACTGACAACGCTTTCAGCTTCAGTTTCATTCCACACTCCCAACACTGCAGTCAACTTCAGCTGCCAACGCCGCTCAAGATCACGAATCAGACATCACTTCCAGATTCGGCTCTGGCACACGCTGCCAGCGCCACTGCGAGCCTCGGCCCGCCAACGCTGTCCCTTAATCAGGAATCGGACTTCCAGCACCGGTTTCGTCAGCCACTTGCAACGCCGCGGTTCTGATAAAAGCGGCCGGAACAGCATGTTGGCAACGCGGCGGTTCTGTGACCTTGAACGCAGCACAACACGTGGTTCTGGCGCGGCCATTCGGCGAACGCCCTCCCAGCTCCCTCGCCAAGAACGAAGCAAGACAAGAGGAGAATTATGAAAGGGAGGATAATGACTAAGTAGAGGCAGAAAAAGGCAGGTGGAGGAGAAGGAAGAACACGTCAAATACTCGCTTTTGCACGTCATGTAAACACGGATAAACACCGCGTGGTACATACAGGGATACGTACACATACACATATGACATTGTAAACACACACATAATGTCAGTACAATGGTTGATTGTCTCTTTGGGTCAGCTGCTTTCTGTTTATACTCTCTCTCTCTCTCTCTCTCTCTCTCTCTCTCTCTCTCTCTCTCTCTCTCTCTCTCTCTCTCTTCTCTCTCTCTCTCTCTTCACACACACACACACACACACACCACACACACACACACACACACACACACACACACACACACACACACACACACACACACACACACACACATCACTCGCACCACAGTACAACATCGGTCGTTGGCGTCATACCCCCCCCCCCCCCAACACACACTGTCGCATCCTGTCTGTCAGTCTTAAAATATATATTACTTGTCCCTCTATAAAATAAATAAACATTATTGAAGTTTAAGAAATAGATGGTGAAAAACGTCACCTTGTCAGTTTATGTCTGTCTGTCTGTTTGTTTGTTTGTCTGTTTGTGAAGGTCCTCTCTGACAACCATGCATCAAGAGATAATAGAAAGAAAATGAGAATAATGAAACGTTAGTACAGAGAAAAAAAGTCAAAGACACGGAAAGGCTAATAGGATTGCGAAGACGAAGAGACATGAAAAAGGGAAAGAAAACAAGAGAGGAAAAGACAAAAAAATACAACCAGAAGAACACAAGCCAAACAACACTAACACACACACAAACACATGAGCGAGGACAAGCAAGCCCCCCCCCCCTCATCGCAACCACAACCACACACGCCACACGAACCACCGCCACCACATCACCACACCCGCGCACGCCACCACACACACTGAGGGCCGCACGGGCGAAGGAGGGAGGGGCGAGAGGGACTCCGAGGGGCGCGAGGCAACACCCACGCCACCCGAGGCCTCCTCCGCCAACACGGCCTGCCAACGCTGCCAACGAGGGGCCGTTGCGTCATCCTGCCGCTGCTGTGACTCAGCGCATGGGCGGAGAGGGTAAGGGAGGAGGAGAAGAAGGAGGAGGAGAAGGTGATGAAGAAGGAGAAGGAGTGGGTGAAGAAGAAGGAGATGCAGATGGAGGAGGAGGAGAAAAAGTGGAAGAAGAAGAAGGAAAGGGGAAGACGGATGGAGGGGATAGAAGTAAAGCGCGAGAAAGATGGGTAGATAGAAGACAGAGAGGCAGAGAGAAACAGGAGGAATGAGAGTAAAGGCGAGAGGAAGCGCGAGGGACATGGAAATATGCGTAAGAAATCAGAGTCACACCAAAAAAAAAGAATAAAAAGGCGAAGCAACTCAGACCGCATAAAAATAAAACCAGAGGAAGAGACATGAATGCAAACAAGATTCCAGATTGGCATGCAGGGCGACGGCAGCAAGAATCATCACACAGGTTAAAGGTGTGCGGAACAGCGGGGCGACGGGGATGTATGCATGTCTGTCTGTCTGTCTGTCTGTCTGTCTGTCTGTCTGTCTGTCTGTCTGTCTGTCTGTCTGTCTGTCTGTCTGTCTGTCTGTCTGTCTGTCTGTCTGTCTGTCGGTCGGTCTGTCTCGAATAATATTGCCGGATAAAAGCTATCCAGATAGGTGTCGTTTCAAGCTCCCGGTCTCTTATCTGTTGCTGTTATCGTCGGTTACTGGGGGTGGATTCCTCTCTTTGGGGAAAATGCGGGGACGTGAGGCTGCAGATACGCAATCTGGCTTCGCTTCTACTCGCACGTGTGCCTTGTTTTCGAGTGCATGTGACTGTGAGCACGGAGATCATATTTGCACACGCGGAAAACGCACCCGATTAGGCGCAAATCCGCCTCCTTCCACTGAGAGGAACACATAACCCCCCCCTCCCAATCAGACACATAAGCACAAACAACCCCTCCTCACTTACATGCCCCCCAACCCCGCCCCCGGCACGAGCCTGGCCCTCCTGCCGACGAGAACCAACGGGAGGAGAGGCTGCGAGGCGAGTTCCCAGAACGTCTTCCGCACCAGAGACACGGCTGGGGATGGATACTGTGGGAGAAGAGGGAGAGGGAGAGGAGAGGGGGCGGGGGAGGAGGAGGGGGAGGGAAAGGGAGGGGGAGGCGGAGGGAGAGGGAGGGGGAGGGGAAGAGGGCTGGCGGAAGGAGGAGGGGGGGTGAGTGGTGGAAGAGGGGAGAGGGAGGATGTAAGGAGGGGCGCAGGGGACAAGGACAGAAGTCGGGGAAATACCATGATGGTAAGAAAGCGAGGGAGGAGGGAGGAGGGAGGGTGCCTGAGGGGGTATGGAAGGAGGATTACAAGAGCTCTATGATCGGGGGAAGAGGCAGGAGGGAGAGGAGAAGGGGAAAAGTGGGTAGAAGGAGAAAAAGGGAGAGGGAAGGAAGGAAAAGAACGAGAGCAAGGCGGAGGATGGCGGAGGCGGCGGAGGGAGAGGAGACTGACCATATTTAGCGACGAACGGTTCTGAAGTGGTGTGTGTGTGTGTGTGTGTGTGTGTGTGTGGTGTGTGTGTGTGTGTGTGTGTGTGTGTGTGTTGTGTGTGTGTGTGTGTGTGTGTGTGTGTGTGTGTGTGTGTGTGTGTGTGTGTGTGTGTGTGTGTGTGTGTGTGTGTGTGTGTGCGCGCGCGCGCGCGCGCTTGTTTGTTTGGTGTATTCGACTGCTTCTTTACGCATGGGTGTAGGGCAGATACAAAGAAATGAGGAAATCCCACCAAAGTTACGTTGCTGAGTGTGCATTTGAGTGTTCGGAGCGTTGAGAGCAGAATATTCAGATGAATACCATAATTTAAGACTAGAAGCTACAGTGGCAGAACTCAACCGACACTGTGCATTTTCATCATTGATAATTAAATATCTTTGGGCTTGCATATTTTAGTACATCCGTAAATTTACCCAACTTTACTATCCATCGGATATGGCAACATGAAGACTTAAAATAGATGAGTCACCCGACAAATACCATTTTCTCTCATATCCACTCAAAGAAAACGTGTTACGCCCTCGCACACGCCCCTCACCCCGACAACGTTTGCATTCCAAACCGTCAGAGAATAGCAATCACATCGGCACAAAGGGCGAGGAAAGCCGCCGACAAAGGAAAAAAATATATATACGAATATTCTTTTTGACGTTGACTCTACTAACTAAGTAAACAAACAATTTTGTAACTCACCAGATAGAATGGCCGCTCGCTCTTTTCTCCAATCTGCGGTAGTGTCCCCTTCCGAGCGTGCTCTGTGATGGAAAAGAGAGCTGTCAGTGGCTGGGGGCGTGCGGACCTGGGAAGGGCGTGGGGAAGGGGCAAGGGGCGAAAGATGTGAGTAAGAGTAAGGGGTAAAGGGGAGAAGGGGGAGGGAAGGAATACGAGGGGCTGGACCCTGAAGGGGAAGGGGTCGATAAGGTGGAGGGAAGGAAAAAGAGCGACGGACAAGTACAGAAGAGAAGGGGAAATTTAAGGATGAAAATGAGAGAGGAAAGTTACAGAGGATGTGGAAAATGCAACGAGATGATGAGATGGAAGAGGAGAGAATGAGGTTACGAGGCAAGAAGGAAGACAGGAAACAAATTATGAAAGCGACGTCAAGGAGAAAGAGAAAGAAAGGGGGAAGAGGGAAGGGTGGGAGGTAGAAGAGGAAGAGCGAGAGGAAAAGACAAGCAGACTTGCAGAGACAGGGAAAAAGAGAGAGAAAAAAGTAGGAGAACGGAAGAAAGATGAAACTTAAAAAAACGAAGAAAAAAGAAGAGTAAGAAAGGCAAAATAAAAGGAAAAAGAGGAAGAGGCAGAGAGCGAAGAGGGGAAACGCGGCAAAAGGTCAGAATGTCACCACGAAGGCTCAGGACGAACGTTCGCACGCACATTCAAAGCGCCTGACTGCCCGAAGGCACAGGTGATATTGCACGCTGAGTCTACTGCAGTGCGTGCGTGCGCACGTACGAGCAGTCGGGAATCAATATAGGAATGTACTGATCAGTGTCAACATCATCATCCCTGCTAACTTAATATTATGATTAAATTATTTCCTTAACGCCATAATAATCCCCACACATGTATGTTTCCATCTACCCAAGAGACACCTACACTACGTTTTCTTTTCCTCTCCTCCACCTAACAGCTCCTCTCCCTCAGGGTCACTCAGGCAGCCACAAAATCACTGACGCGCTACGCCGGAGGAGTTCTGTGGCACTGGCATCGCGCTTGCTGGCACTGCTGTCTTATTTTAATGATGATAGAGTTCCTCTTGACGCTGCAATCCTTGTTGGTTTCATTCTTATTGGAACTGCTACTCCCGGCTGGCACTGCCTGCATCTTTGTTGGCATTTACCTAATTCCTGTTGGCACTGTCTTCATTCGTGCTGCTCTCGCGCTCGTCCTGCTAACACCAACATCCTTCGGGCTTCCAACGCCGCCCCCCCTCCAGCAGTGTGAGCCGCCCTCGCCGCCCTCGAGGCGAGCCTGCTCCTCCTAGCGCATCGCGTCCAAGGAACCCGAGGGCGAAGAGGCCACGGGGACGGCCGTTCGGGATGGCCACGGAAACAGTGGCTACGGGAGTCATCATGGCGATGAGGACTGATGACTGATCACTGACTTATGGTTGATGGTAGAGATGGCGGGGATGTGTAATGATGGTGATGATAACAGTGATAACTATAATTATAATGATATTATTTTGATAATTATGAAGATGATTTTGAAATGATAATGATGATGGTGATGATAATTAGGAAGATGATTATGAAATGACAATGATGATAGTGATGATAATGATCATAACTTCTGAACTGTAATGATGATGATTACTAATTGAACACCCTGCAACAAGCGAAGCGCCTTCCAGAGCAACCCCGCAAGCAAGATGCCGCAATGACCCCGCGGCCGCCCGCCCCCCCGCCCGCCGGACACTAACCCCGACTGAGAAAATTCTTCGTTGCTCGAGAGAAAATGCTTACTCACGCCGCGTCTCGTGAAAGACAGCCCTTTGTAAATATGAGAATTAATGTTACACTATGGGTGACCGCGGGCGTCGACTCTGGCGTGGCTTTGTTGAATTGAGGGCGACAAGGAAAACGACGACGATGGTGATGATGATGACGATGGTGGTAATGATGATGGTGGTGGTGATGGTAATGATGATGATGACGATGGTGGTAATGATGATGGTGGTGGTGATGGTAATGATGATGATGACGATGGTGGTAATGATGATGGTGGTGATGGTAATGATGATGATGATGACGATGGTGGTAATGGATGATGGGTGATGGTAATGTGATGATGATGTCCGATGGTGATGGTGATGGATGATGGTGATGGTAATGATGTCGATGGTGGTGATGGTAATGATGATGATGATGATGGTAATGATGATGATGATGGCGATGGTAATGATGATGATGGTGATGATGGTAATGATGATGATGGTAATGATGATGGTGATGATAATGACGACGACGGTGATAACAACAATATCAATATGAGCCTTGTTTTAACACTAGCCTCGCAAATTCTGTAATTAGTTCACAAATAAGTAAAACGTTAAAAATCGACACCTAAAAATGCCATCCTCACCCTCCAAGTAAAGTTGTAGTTACAAGGGTAAAATTGTTACTTTACAAAGTTATCATTAAAGTGTCTAATACAATAGGGTATAGCAGACGTATAATAATCTGGATGATGACACTTTGGTTCACATAATTTATTGTTAACATCCTCACGAAGTCGGGAAGCAGGTGCCGATGCCTCGTAGATGTAAAGATGTTGGATTAAGGATTTTCTCCGGTCTTCTAAGGAGGGAATCTGCAGTTGGTTTAGCGCATCTGTGTATGAGGTGTAGTTTGACCCAAGAATGAGACGTGACGCTCTTTTCTGAAGTCTTTCCAATTTTATTTTTTCACAGGTAATGGACGAATGCCAGACTGGTGCTGCATATTCACAAACTGGTCGAAGGAAAGTCGTCCTCATGCGGAGGAGGTCTTCTTGGGATGCACCGAATGATCATGATGATGGTGATGTGATGATGACGATGACGTTGATCCGAACGGCAGCGATGATGATAACCAGAAGGATAATGAAAATGATAGAGAAAAACACCCGAATACACCCAACACCAGGGCAACCCGCCCGAAGGACCCGCTCACCTGGGGCTGAGGATATCCTTGGCCTTCGTGCCGTATCGACTCTGCAGGACCGATGACCAGGCGTCCTGCTCGCTCACCAGGCCCTTTCCTCCTCCTCCTCCTCCTCCTCCGCCTCGCCCTTCCTCCTCCTTCTTCTCCGCCATCGCCGCCTCCTCGTTCGTTTCCGCGCCTCTCGGGGATCTGGAGGCGAGCGCGCGCTGTGTCATTCATTTGGCCGAAATTGATGTTCAGATAAATAGCAATATCAACATACGTAGACATGTATGTGTGTGTTGCTTGTCTGCGTGCGTGCTTGCTTGCCTCTATCTGTCTGTCTGCCAGTCTGCCTCTCTCTCCCTGCCTGTCTGCCTGCCTGCCTCTCTCTCCCTGCCTGCCTCTCTCTCCCTGCCTGCTTGCCTGCCTGTTTGCTTGCCTGTCTGCTGCCTGTCTAGTGCTCTCTCTCCCTGCCTGTCTGCCTGCCTGCCTCTCTCTCCCTGCCTGTCTGCCTGCCTGTCTGCCCTGCCTCTCTCTCTGCTGCCTGCTTGCCTATGCCTGCCTCTCTCTCCCTGCCCTGCCTTGCCTCTCTTCTCCCTGCCTGCTGCCTGTTGCTTGCCTGTCTGCCTCTCTCTCCCTGCCTGTCTGCCTGCATGCCTCTCTCTCCCTGCCTGCTTGCCTGTGCCTCTCTCTCCCTGCCTGCTTGTGCCTGTGCCTGCTGCTGCCTGTCTGCCTCTCTCTCCCTGCCTGCTGCCTGCCTGTTTGCTTGCTGTCTGCCTCTCTCTGCCTGCTGCCTGCTGCCTCTCTCCCTGTGCCTGCTGCCTGCTGCCTCTCTCTCCCTGCCTGTCTGCCTGCTGCCTCTCTCCCTGCCCTGCCTGCCTCCTCTCTCTCCCTGCTGTCTGCCTGCCTGCTCCCTGCTGCTTGCCTGCCTGTTTGCTTGCCTGTCTGCCTCTCTCTCCCTGCTGTCTGCCTGCCTGCTCTCTCTGCTTGCCTGCCTGTTTGCTTGCCTGTCTGCCTCTCTCTCCCTGCCTGTCTGCCTGCCTGCCTCTCTCTCCCTGCCTGTCTGCCTGCCTGCCTCTCTCTCCCTGCCTGCTTGCCTGCCTGTTTGCTTGCCTGCCTGCCTCTCTCTCCCTGCCTGTCTGCCTGCCTGCCTCTCTCTCCCTGCCTGTCTGCCTGCCTGCTCTCTCTCCCTGCCTGCTTGCCTGCCTGTTTGCTTGCCTGTCTGCCTCTCTCTCCCTGCCTGTCTGCCTGCCTGCCTCTCTCTCCCTGCCTGCTTGCCTGCCTGCCTCTCTCTCCCTGCCTGTTTGCTTGCCCTGCCTCTCTCTCCCTGCCTGTCTGCCTGCCTGCCTCTCTCTCCCTGCCTGCTTGCCTGCCTTCCTCTGCCTGCTTGCCTGCCTGTCTGCCTCTCTCTCCCTGCCTGTCTGCCTGCCTGCCTCTCTCTCCCTGCCTGCTTGCCTGCCTGTTTGCTTGCCTGTCTGCCTCTCTCTCCCTGCCTGTCTGCCTGCCTGCCTCTCTCTCCCTGCCTGCTTGCCTGCCTGTTTGCTTGCCTGTCTGCTCTCTCTCCCTGCCTGTCTGCCTGCCTGCCTCTCTCTCCCTGCCTGTCTGCCTGCCTGCCTCTCTCTCCCTGCCTGCTTGCCTGCCTGTTTGCTTGCCTGTTGCCTGCCTGTCTTGCCTGCCTGCCTCTCTCTCCCTGCCTGTCTGCCTGCCTGCCTCTCTCTCCCTGCCTGCTGCCTCTGCCCTGCCTGCCTGCCTGCCTGCTGCCTGCCTGCTCTCTACTGTGCCTGCCTGCCTGCCTGCCTGCCTGTTTGCTTGCCTGTCTGCCTCTCTCTCCCTGCCTGTCTGCCTGCCTGCCTCTCTCTCCCTGCCTGCTTGCCTGCCTGTTTGCTTGCCCGTCTGCCTCTCTCTTCCTGTCTTCCTGCCTGCCTCTATCATCCTGCCTGCCTGCCTCTCTCTCTCTTCCTGCCTGTCTGCCTCTCTCTTCCTGTCTGCCTCTCTCTTCCTGCCTGCCTGCCTGCCTCTCTCTTCCTGCTTGCCTGCCTGAGCCTGTTTTCTCTCTCCCAACCTTCCCTCGACGCCTGGCCCCGCCGCCCCGCATCCCATTCATTACATTAACCTGATGCATAACGGCACTGGCTACCGTTGCGTCCTAATTTGATTAAGAAACAACAATAATTCAAATAATTCAATCCACGTAGAGTGATCCCACATAATGCGTAAGCCAAAGTAAAAACAGCCCCTCGTCTGCCAGTCCGCTCTGCGCCCCTGGAACCCCTCGCGTGAAGCCCCGGGAATCCCTGCGTGCGCTGTCCGCCAACTGGGAATCGACAGGCTATTTTCCCTTCCATTCAAAAATGCGCCGTGCGGAGCTTGAAGATTTATTTCCCTTCCCCTCTCTCTCCTTCTCTCCTTCTCCCTGCCCCTCTCTCTTTCCATTATTCCCTTCTTCCGCTTCCTCTCCTTCTCCCTCTCTATTCTCTCCGTCTCTGTATAAATTTCCTCATCCATCTTCCTATTTTATTCCTTTCCCTCCCTATACTCTTTGTCTCCTTCTCCCTCTCCTTCACCCTCCTTTTCATCCTCTCCCTCTCCCTCACCCGTCTCTAAATCCTCTCCCTCTCCCTCTCTCTCCTCATCCTCTCCCTCTCCCTCCTCATCCTCTCCCTCACCCTCCTCTCCTTCCTCACCTCTCCCTCTCCCTCTCCTCACCCTCACCCTCCTCTCTCTCTCCTCATCTCCATCCTATCCCTCCTCTCTTTCCTCTCCCTCTCCCTCTCCATCCTCTCCCTAGCCCCCCCCCCCCATGCCCTTCCCCGGTGCCGCCCTGCGCATCTTACCTGAGATCAGTTTTGGACGGCTGGAGGCCCCTGCCGTCCGCCTTGGAGGGCGAGGGGGGTCGCTGCTCCCACTCGGCGGCCTTGGAGGGCGAGGTGGGTCTGTAGTCGGGCTTGGAGGGCGACGCCGTGGGCGAGGAGCGGCTCTTGGAGAAGGACTGGAACCAGTTCTTGTGGCGCGCGATCAGCTCCTGGTGCTGCTCGTGCGTCGACGCCCGCCGGTCCAGGCTCTCGGGCTTGGCGGGCTTCTCGGGCTTCTCAGGCCTCGCCGCGCGCCGCAGCTCCGCCGTCAGGTCCGACTTGAAAGTCTCGGGCGCGAGGGCGCGGCGCCCGACGAGTACGAGTGCCAGGCGCGGCGGCGTGCGCGCGCGGCCGCCCGAGGAGGCGGCGTGCGGCGGCCAGCGGCGCGGCGTGGGCTCCGACTCCGTGCTCGAGGTGGAGAGCGACCGGCTGGAGGAGGAGCCAGGGCGCCGCAGCCCTGCTAGGGCCACCCATGAGTTCTCCCCCGGCCCTCCCCCGGCCCTCCCCCGGACCCGCCCCCGCCGCTGTCCTGGTCGCTGTGGTGGGCGTGTCCGTTGGTGCGGGCGGGGCTGGGGGAGCCGGAGCGCGAGGACGAGGCGGAGGCGCCGCCCAGGGACCGCGCGGGCGAAAGCGACTCGCCGCGGCCGACGCGAGAGCCGAGGCCTCCGGGGCGCTCCTCGCTACCGCTCCTGCGCCCGAACGGATGGGCAGCGGCGCCCACGCGGCTCACGGCGGCGCCCGCCTTCTTGGCTTCGCCCTCGCCCTTGGCCAGCCCCGCGCCCACCTTGCCCCCGAAGCCTGCGGGCGGGGGGACCCTGGCGGAAAGCGCGGCCGACGCAGGGGCGGCGCGGGGCGGCTGCCCGATGCCGCCCTCGCTCTGCCCCATCTTCTCGAAGAGGGCGCGCGCCGTGTTGAAGCGGGCCAGGTGCGACTCAGTGCGGACGACAGTGGCGTGCTGGGGGCCACTGGCCTCCTGGGACACGCCGGGGGCCGCGTCATCCTCCCCCGCGACCCCACGCACGCTGCCGCCGCCCCCGCCGCCCCGCCGCGCCGCCACCGCCGCCCTGGAACATCCCGGCTATCTTGGACACCTTGGAGGCGGAGGCTCGACCCCGGCCCTCCTCCACCACACCCTGGAACGACAGACACGGAGCGTTAGGAAAGGAAACAGGGATCCACATTCAAAAGGCACCTGTTGCTACACCTGGCTACGCTTGGGTGCCTACGAACTACAAAGCTTCGAAACATGCCTTAATAACGTAGATATCTGCAAAAGGTCATTAACGTACATAGTTCCATCCGTGCACATACATTTGCAAATCGAGAAAAAGAGAACGCTGATGTATTTTTCGCAATAAAGCTATTTCGTACAACGGCTGAACACGTCGCACACATTTTGAATGAACAGA